GCAGAGTGCGACAGTCCTCAATTCAGAGCACTAACGATGATCCTAAGAGAGGGTGAACATCCAAGTATTTGAACTGTAATACTTACAGAGTTGTAGACTTTAAGGCCTGAAGGGGGCACTAGATCATCTGGTCTGACCTCCTGTATGTCAGACCAATACCACCCAGCACCAGCACGCTAAACCCAACAACCAAAATGAGATCGAACTATGACAGCCCAAAGGAGACTAGACTTTTATGTGCTTCAGGCAGGGAATAGGCGGGACCGAGGTACACCAGTGTCTGAGGCCCCTGCGATGGCAGGGAAATGATCAAGTGAGATATACCCAGATAACCCTGGTAAATGACCCACACTCACACACTGCAGAGGAAGGCAACACCCCCCGCCCCAGGTCACTGCCAGCCTGACCTGGGGGGAAATCTCCTCCCAGCCCCACATAGGACACTTAGACCCTGGGTATGTGAGCAAGAACCAGCCAGCCAAGCACCCGAGAGAATGTTCAGTGCCACCTCAGAATCCCGGCCCGCTCTCCCCCATGTCTCATCTCCACCTGTGGACATCCCTGATGCTTCAGAGGAAGGACATAAAAAACCCCTCCCAGAATACACTGCAGGGGGAAAATCCCTTCCTGATCCCTGCTAGTGCCAGGCTGAAACCCTGAAACATGAGCTTTAGGAACATCAGAGACAAACTGGAAGTGAGCCCCAGGCCTGCTGAGCCCTGCCTCCTACCATCACAAGCAGCCTCATCATGCAATTGCACTCATAAATTTGCCCAGCTTTCTCTTACAACTAATTAAGTTGTTTGCCCCACAACTCCTACTGGGAGGCTGTTTCAGAACCTCACCCCTCTGATGGTTAGAAACCTCCTTATTTCCAGCCTGAATTTGTTCATGGCCAGGTCATCTCACTTTGTTCTTTTACCAGCATTGTCCTTTAGCTTAAACAGCTCTTCACCCTCCTGGGAATTTACCTTCCTAATTTATTTAGAGAGAGCAATCAGATCCCCTTCTTTTTGCTAGACTGAACAAGCCAAGCTCTTCCTGTCTCACAAAATAGGCCTTCTGTTCCCCTGATCATCCGAGTAGCTCTTCTCTGCACCTGTTCCAGTTTAAATTAATCTAACATGGGTGACCTGAATTGCACACAGTATTCCATATGAGGTCTTACCAATGCCTTGGACAATGGCTTTAATCCTGCCCTATCTCTACTGGAAATACCTCACCTAATATATCCTAAAGATTGCATTTCCCTTTTCCACAGCTGCATTACCTTGGTGGCTCATAGTCATCCTGTGATCAACGCACCGAGGTCTCGCTCCTCCTCTGTTGCTTCCAGCTGATGAGCCCTCCGCTTGCAGCAGAAATTCTTATTATTAGCCCCTAAGTGCATGACCATGGAGTTTATACTATTGAATTTCATGCCGTTTCTGTTACTGTAGTCTTCACGGTTATCCAGATCTTCCGGTATGATAGTCCAATCCTACTCAGTATTGACAATGCCTCCAGACTTTGTATCACCAGCACATTTCATTAGCATACTCCTGTTTTTGTGCCAGGTCATTAATACAAATATTGAATAAGATTGGTCTTACTTGTCTAACTGCAAGTGCCTCGGCTCTAGCTTGAGGGAATTCCTGCAGACAAAAACCTCAACGCGGACAAACGTGCAGAGAAATCTTGTTAGTACAGCGTTGTGTGGTGTGGTTTTTTAAAAAGGGGATGTGTGTTTGCTATTATTGTCTCTGCACATTTCAAACACCCCTAATTTAAAGAGTCCTCCATGCCTCCCACACCCCTTCTGGCCCCCTGCATGCTCTGTGCCCCTTATGTCCTTATATAACTCCTGCATGCCCCCCATTCTCCTCCCCCACTCCATGCGACCTCCCCTCTTTCTTCCCTAACCTCAGCTCATACCCTTCCCAGTTTCTTACCCCCTCTGGCCTCTGTGTTTGCCCCCTTTCCTCCTACCCGCCCTGCCCATGCCCTCAATTCTGCCCAACACCTGCAGCAGCAGGGGCATGCAGCCAGGAGCAGAACAATTTACTATACCTGTCACTTCACAAGGGTGAGCCCCGCCACTGGCTGCACATGACTTTGGACATTAGACTGTGTTTTGAGAGAGAAAAGAACCAATGATTCCGAAACCACGTCTTTCTGCTGAGCCAACAACACTAGCCTTGATTGCCCACTTCTTCCAGGCCACCCCTCACGCCCGGGAAAAGCTCCCAGTTCAAGTCTGTAAAGCCACCGTCGGATCCTCCTTCAAGTCACCCCTCCAACCTCACCTCCGCTGCCGTCCGTATGGAACAACGCCACCTGATCGGTGAGAGGCAAGGTGGTGAGTTGTAAATACTGTGGTTACTGCTACTAGCTGGCTAAGAATGGTGCATCCTGCTCCCTTCCAGACCCCTTGTTCTCTCATCCACCTGCAACAGCATTCGGTTTAGACTGGGAGCTCTCTGGGGAAAGGATGGTCATTTGCTGTGTGTCTGTACAGCTCTGTTCTGACTGAGACCTTTCAGTTCTGGTGTAATACAAATATTAAAGAGCAACAGCTCAAACGAAGGTGCACTCAAATCCAGCAGATGAAATACATTTGGTTTATTTCTTTCTAAAGTTTGTACATATACATATATCATATACATGTGTGAAATCCTTCACTGCTTTGCTCGATTTCAATCACATACAAATCATTCAGAAGGCTGCAGACTCGTAGTTACTCTAAAGCAACATTATCCTGCCTTACAAAACACAGAGGAACAAGAGTTATAATCATGAACGTGTACACAAGAGAGAACTATATCTCACAGTTTCAATACATCAGAGGCAAATTATTTGTCTGCTTACTCCAGCAATGCTCAAAGAGAGGGAGATATTTATATACAGTCACCTCGAAGGAAAAACAAAGCAATATAAACTTTATTTCAAAATATTATTTAAACGACGTAATAATATCCACGAGTCCTTCCCCCAGGGAGACAGGACATTCTGTAAGTGCCTTCATTTACCAGGAATTATCATTCTAGTACCTGTCACATAGACTAGAATAGGAAATCCAAGGGCATCCTATGGTACCGTTAGAAAACAGCAAAGACCCTGATTCAGGACAGCAGCTCTAGTCGGGAAAGCACGTGATCAAGTCCCACGGACATCGGTGGCACTTAAGCACATGCTGAAATGCTTTCATGATTTGGGGCCTTGATCAGGTCTGCATAGCTCTGGCTCTTCGACTGCGGATGTGAAGTAGGGCCTCTCTATGGAGAAATTTACTCCTGGTGGGGAGAGCCAGCATAGACCTTACCTAGGGCCTGCCCCCAGGGTCAGAGCAGCGGGATTTATTCCAGTGGAGAAGGGCTGGAGAGAACTTCAGCACTGCTCCATTACAGACAGACAGAGGCTCTTGAAATGCCCACAGCTGACACTTCCCTCTGCCACTCTTTGTAATTTATCAACCACACGGATTCTTACACATCTCTCTGCAATTGTTACAGTAAATCCTCACCACGCTTGCAAAACGATAACAGCCCAGGGTAACATTTTCAAAAGCACCTAAGTCACCTAGAAGTCTAATGATATTTAGGCACCCAAGTGACTTAGGCATTTTTGAAAATGTTCCCCCACGTGGATTATTCACAGAACTCGGCCAAGATTTCTTTAAACAATGGGAGCCTTAAATTAGGCTCCGAGGGAGGTATTTGCAAAAGTGCTCAGTGATGCTCCCATTGAAGGCAATGGATGACACCAACAGGAGCAGTGAGCCCAATGTCGGGAGCTTTTTAAATTCCCGCCCCATAATTGCTCTCTATGCTCCTAAATAAATTACTTTATTTTCAAA